AAATTTAGGGGGTTCTTCCCCCCCCTTTTGGGGGCCCAATGGACCTTAAAAAGTCGGTTTAGGGGGGGGGTGTATTAATATTGGGGCGTGCGGTAGTGTTTAGCCCATGGCCCTGGCATTTGGGGGGGGGGGGGGGGCGGGGTGCCATCTCTCCGCCCGTTACGGCAACACGAGAACATCACGCGCGCTTCTCCCCTCCTAAATAGTGCTTCGTTGTTGGCCTCTGCGCCCGCACGGAGAGGAGGATCGGGGGCGGCTGTGCAGCACGACTCAAGAAAAAGAAGGTGGCGTGCTTCTCGTATCAAGCACATCTCTGCGGGAGGTTCTGGGCTACGCAGCGCATGATCCAAAGGAGGTACAGAGGCCACGGCAAGAGAGAGCAACCGGGGTACGGGGGGGGGTTGCGATATGGCATTCAAGAAGTATCAGGTCATGCATCCGGCTTTTCCCCGCTCTCGGGAGGATGGGAGGGGGCCTGCCGACAAGTTCCGACCTAACATGCAACCGTAGGAGCGGTATGCTATTTTACCTGCATGTTGGAGTACGTGATAGCCTTTACCTCCGTCCCCTGTGGGTGCTTGGACAAGTCGAACGTTTCCCCCTCCCTGTACAAACAGCCCAAAAGAGCAAAGTTGGGGCGGCGCATGGCAGTTACGTGTGGGGAAGAAGGACAGGGGGGGTGGGGGGGGGCGTGGGGGGGTGGAGGGGTAGCATGGATTGGGGGACAAGGGCGCCCCGCCGCATCGCGTCTGATCGACACTTGGAACATCGCACGAAGGGGTGGGTTATTATCTTTTTTCTCGCGTAAAAATTAATCGCGGGCCGGTGCGGGATGGGACAAAAAACGCGGCGGGTCACTTACGCCGTCGCCTTGAGCCTCCAACGAGGGGCGGGGCCGCCGCCCCCCCCCCCCCCCCCGCCCCCGTTTAACCGGGCCCGGCACGGGGGGCCCTTTTCCCCCCCGCCCCCCCGAGGGGGAAAAGAAAAAGAAATCCCCCCGGAAAATTGAAAACAAAAACTTTGGCTTTTGGCCCGCGGGGGGGGGGAAGGGGGCCCCC